CAGTTGCGGATACTGTTCCTTGTATAGTAACGGTCAGATCCGCTCCAGCGTTCTCTGGTGCTGCATGCTCATACTGCGGTTATAAAGAGTCTTGCTAATCCTGTGCCCCCCTCAGATTCTTCTTATTGGCTGACTAATAAGAGGGAAAGGAGGACAGGGTTTTTGAAATGGACATATGCAACATCTCAAACAGTTTATAGAAAAGTTAGCAACTAGTTCTTCAAATACTTGCACATCACTGTTCCAAGGAAGATAATACTCAAGCAATTGCACAGAAGATAGGCAAAAATTTCAAGAAGAAGCCACCTGCACGATTGTGGGACTGAAGTTGGCATTGTCTTTGGCCTGCTGGGGCTGGCATGGTACATTGAGAACAGGTTGCTTCCCTGCTGATATCCTGAATGGAACTTGCACTAAGAAAGCAGCTAAGATGGCTTGTGATCTTGTGGAATTAGTGGTAGTGGTTTCTGGAATGAGCTTACAGGTTTATCATCCATTTTGTAGTATGTATGATATAATCCAGGATGAGATTCTAACAGCTGAATTGATGTGCATAATATAATGGTTTGGTTCTTTCTATATAAAATGCCATGGCTTGTCTTAACATAGCGTAAATTTTGTTCCTTTCTACTTGCATGCAGCTTCAGGAGGAACACTGGTAGAAAGATTTGCTTAACGGCAGTGGAATTGTGAAACCACTTTTATACATTCTGGGTGTGGATGCAGCTGCACCTTATCCTTACGGAAGATTCTATACGGGGGCTACAATGTGAGGGCATCAGTTTCCAAAATCCTTCTGGCCGAGGTGATGGCCACTAAGAACACTGCTTTCCTGGAGAAGTGCATCAATGAACATGTTGCCAGCACTTTAAACAGGGAGCCCATGCTGCCTGGACAGTGTCAGGACTGAGACTGACCATGCCCAGTCCTGCTTGATCCTCATTGGAATCTTGTGTATCATTGGGATAGGAGAAAAAAGGCATAATACAGGTGATGTACACACAGTAGCAGGAGGGTGTTTCCAAAAGACCCTTGACAACAGACTTGCAGGTGGAAAATTATGTGGAAGTATGCATCCTTTAAATTGACAGTGCTTGACAAGTTGCCGTGAGCCCCGCTCCCTAGCCGCATGGTTTGGCACACTACACTCGCGCTGCAGGGCTGTGCCGGGCTAAAATCTTCTTGCCCTGGGGGAGTAGATTGCTGTAATTGTCAAGCCCTGTAAAATGAGGCTGGCATATTCAAAGACCATGCAGCACCTTAAGTTTGAGAGAGTGGTTAGACAACAGAAGTGTAAGATAGATGTGAGACCACCCTGCACTTTCAAGCTTAGGGAATAACAGGCATGGAATCTTTTTCCTTATAAGTGCACCAAACTTCAATGGCTTCTACCCACAGGTGGGAGTAGACTTCTTGTTCTAAGAGTTGCTTGTGAAAAGAATCCCTGAAGAGGAATTCAGTAGGGGAAAAAGGTGGAAAAGACAAACTGAACAATACATCCTACTTTTATTATGCTAAGTATCCAGTAGTCTGAAGTAATGAGTCCAGGCATTACACATGTGGGACAGACCATTTGAAAACAGAGGCATAAGTGATCCAATATTGTGGGAATTGATGCAGGTCATGCTACAGGAAGGGCAGGGCTTGAAGTCTGGTGACCAAAACATGCCTCAACACAAAGGAGTGGATGAACATTGCTAACTAAGCACTAAGGAGTCCAACCATATCACAAAAACCATATACTTTAGAAAAAAGAAACAGTACAGAAAAAGACTTGGAAATTTGCCTGAAACAATAACAGTAGTTACAGCAGCTTGCTTGAGCAGTAAGAAGGAAATGAGGGAATGCAGAGTTTGTAGGGACCTTTATATACCAGCACTGGGTGGAGCACAAGAGGACACTAGAGCTGACTCAGTGCATACCATTAGGGGAAAAAGGGGGGCAGCTGTGTTTGGGGCATGCACAATTTTCATTAGAATGAACATGTGCAAGCATTTAAAGAATTAGAGCTCATTCAACATGATTTGTGTCTCTCTCTTGCCCTATTGAATGACTTGCTTACTAAAGAAATCTACAAAGCTGGCAGAGGCCTCCATCCACTTGTTCAAAGCACTATGCTTTGGTGTGGATGCTGCATTTAATCTGCTATTCAATCAATTTCAGATCATGTTCCATGTGCTTTTCTTCCTGGATGACAAAGTGCACACTGGATGCCACTTTCACAAAAGATAGGAAACTCAGTTCACAAAATGGCAGCTATTTAATCTATCAGAGTTAAGATTCCAAGTTGTCAATTACCTTTCTCTTTTTTTCCTCAATCATATGAATAACTTTGACAGTCTGTTTCAGGCAATGAAAGATTAACACACTAAAAATGCTTTTTGTAGACCTCTGACTTGGACATATCCAGTGTTAATCACTTTGTATACTTTTTTTAAAGCCATGTTAAATTTATTTCACTGCCTATTGATACAGGTTAACCTTACTGGTCCAGCACCATTGGGACCTGACTAGTCCTGAAGGAGGGGATTTGCCAAACCAGGGAAGGATCCTTCCCTCATAGCCATGTTGCCACTGGGCTAAGGTTCCAGTGTGCCCCCACTGCTGCCTCAGCCCCCCAGTGCTCTCCCTGACCCCATTGGGGCCAGGGCTGGAGCTCTGTGACTGGGGCAGAGGAGGTAGGGCCAGAGCTCCCTGGCTGGCCCTAGGGCTGGAATTCCCTGGCTCCTGGAGCACCAGGGATGAGGTCAGAGGTCCACTGCCATAGCCAGACTAGAGCTCCTTGGCTGCTGGGGCCAGAACTCCCTTCCATGCCCTCTACTCACACACTATGGGCTCCTGGATGAGTTGCCAGTGCCCTGTCCAACGCTCGTGCCCCACCTCCCTCTTCCTGAGCTCTGTGGTCCATGCAGGACCACAGAGTCCAGGTTAAGGGAGGTGTAAGCTACAGTTGTATAGGACCTATTCAATATTGATATGTACAAAGTCTTAAGCTTTGCTTTCAGGTATTGGATACCTTTCTGGTCTATTACATAATGTTGGGACTGATTGGCTACTGTTATCTTGTAAATTTTGAAATGTTTCTCTTGTTAATTGAGTATATATTAGTGTGAACTCTTGCTGCTTTAAAATTGAGTTCAATTTAGTTTCATGTCTGTTAAGTAGGCACAAGTTTTTGTAGGTGTACATGTCTTCTGCACCAAGAAGAAACTCAGCCACACCTGTGCTTGTGTAGACATTTTAATAAGACATGCAGGTGCATGGAATATTGCTAGAGTGGTAACTATAGAATGTGCAAAAAGCTATAAGAACTGTTTACCATTGTACAGGATTAGACACTGAAGCACACCCTACAGCATCCACTGCTGAAGCCAAATTCACAAAAGCAGTGGTGCAAAAAAGTGTAGGGCTTATCCACAGAGTAATGAACTCTACAGGAGTGTTTGTAAAGTCTACACTAATTGGTCTTAACATTTAAATATAGCATAGCATTTGTAGTTCTACTGGGTCTGTCTGGACCAATTAAGGTACATGAGGTAGGTGTTCTTGAAGTTACATTGCTAGCACACATTACAATAGAGACTTCTCTATCAGGTAAGGGTAGATACATTAGACAGACCACCTGTTAAACTGCAAGCTAGCCCATTTCTCATCTGAGGTGACATGACTTGACAATACTTGCAAAATGAAATGCTGTAAGTGAACATTACAAACCCCCATAGTACTGTGTGCTCTTACACACGACCATAGGTTTAGTCAGATGAATTTTTTTTGATGTGACCATGTACAAGGAGTGGCATAGTATTTTAAAAATTCTGGAGTTGTACACTATTAAACTTCTGAAGTTCATTAGGGTTAAGGCCTATAGTCAGGTGAGTTGAAAGGATCAATTTAGAAGCAACCAGTATGCGAACCCTTTAATATGAATTATCTGCCTCAAATGGATGTATTCTGCATTGTACAATTAAAAAAATGACCTAAGAATTTGTCACATTACAATTATTTGTATTTTAGACAAATTGAGTGCACCATAGCAACAGATTTATACAAATGATTTGTATAAATCATTTATAGATCCATACTTAAGGGATGGGTTTGTACCATACTGCTGCTGTTGGAAAGGAACTCTAACATTTCTGCATTAGACAAAAAAAAATCTTGCTTTAACTCCAGAAAGTTGTCTGGATTAACATGAACTACATCCCTGCAGAGTAGCCCTACTGAATGCTATTGTACAATTATTAGTGCTTTATATTTATCTACAGAACACACAATCAAAACACAAATTGCTCATTTTTTGAGACTACATAATTGCTGAAATGGGGAAAAGCTGTAACTGGCTTAAGCATGGACAGCTAAGTGATTATTTCCAGTTTCTACAGGGAACAAGTATCACACAAACATGTAAAGTTTGAATTACAAAACACTCATTCATGTTTAATAGGTGTTAATGTTATTTTGTAATATTAGATAAAATGACATTGTATAAGGTACCTGATTAGTAGTCACTTATTCCAAGTACATGTAGTTATTACATGTTGTCTAACTCTTAGCAGGGTCTACTAGTGCCACAACTTAATCAGTAAAGAAACATTGTACATTTATATATTTAATTTGTTTTAATTAAAATTGCTGCTGACTGTACAACAAAGCAGCCATGCAATTAATATATCCAATAAATGTCTTAAACTGAGAGTCATCATTGCAGATAACAGTGACACGTATCCAGTTAACTTATCACTGTTCCTGGAATGTTTCATTTCTCTATATACAACCATGATGCATTGCAGTTCATGCATTTAGTTAAATAAATCATTTCTTTAAGAACCCTCTTAAATGTATGTGTCATAGAAAAGTAACAGAACTATAGTTTTCTTTTATGGCAAAGCAAAAAAAATTCAGTGTCCAAGGTTCCCCCCTCCCTCCTCTACATACAGATGGCAGTGCTGGGCATTATATTCCAGTGTACTAACAACTTACCTAGAAAGAAAGACAGCACATTCAGTATTGTACATGCTTTATTAAAATGGTACTTGTATTTACAGTCTCTGCAGAAACAAACCCTCCCAAGCCTTGCAGTCAGACACCCACCCATAGACGCACACACTCACACACACCCTCACTATTGTGTTGTGAAGGCTAGGCTCCCAAAAAATTGGGGGGGGCATAGTGTGGGGTGGTTTAATTTAAAAAAGCATGGGGAATGCATTTGGCCATCAATGCTAATTCAGTTTATGTATATTAACAATATGGTAAGTAACACTGAGCAGTCCTTTTCCATTCTATATACAGAATGACATCAAGGTTTACCAGTCAACAGAACATTCTAACTTCAGTCTCAATGGTGCTTGTAGTGACTTTGAAATCACATATTGGGGGGCTTTCCCTTAAAACAATTCAAGTCTATTTAAGTGAAATAAGGCACAATTAATATTGATTTAGGGGAAGGGCAAGGGTAAAAAGCAGGCTTCAGCTGATAGATGTTGCAGAGAAATAAGTTTTTCCAGATCCTTTTGACAGACAGATCCTTGTACATCCTTCAAATCTGCAACTTATGCCAAGAGAACTGAAGGTTTTTCCCCTCTGTCAGGGCTACTATTGCCCACATACAAGAATTTGGGGAGGAAGGGGGGAAAAATATCACACTAACACTAGATTCGGTAGCCCAGATTTCTAGTATTGATGTGCATGCGTAAATATCGTTAATGCTCAAGGAGAAAACATGAAACAAGACTCAACCCTCATTTTCTTAACTTGCTTCAAGAGCCTGTAAGTGTGGACTGTGAAGGCTTCATCTTACTGGTAAGAGTAAGGGTTTGGGGTTTGTTTAGGTGTTTTTTTTTTTTTTGCCTTTTACCTCTTTGGCCCCTCCTCATTAATGAAGCCTTACCACACATTACAAATAAACTGCAACAAAAAAGTATGGCAGCATAAATACCTAATATTCCAATCTTCATTGTGTTATTTTCCTTGTACAAAACCTGTTGAATGTTTTTTTTGCAGCAGATGAACTGTACCCAAAGATGCAGGACATTCTGTGATGGGGGAAAGAGGTTGCAGTTCTGAAGGCCCCTGACTTTGGTTGTTTACAAAGTTCAATCCTGTTTAGTGTGATCCTTGATATCCTCTTCGTCTGTATATTCTGATGGTTCTTCCCCTGGTTTTAGAAGTCTACCTACGTAGTCATATTTTTCTGGAAAAGATATTTATATATCAGATGAAGATACTTCCACTTAATGTCTTCCCCATAACTTCTCAGTACTGCACAAGTTATTTTTCCCTTTTATGCTAAGTTTCTGATCCCACATCACTGCAGTCAAAAGGAATTTAACACTGAAATCAAGATCAGACCCTGATATCTTGGTAGAGATTTCTAAGTTATCCATTCTTAGACCACACTCTCTCAACTAATACGGTAGAATTTTCATCCTGTATTTCTACCCTTTGCAGCCCCACTAATTAGTCAATTTTCTAGCTGCCCTTAAATCCAAACAGGCTAATCTCCTGTATGTTATGAAAATAATGCAACTTTAAAACAAAAGCTCAGTACTAGATCCCAAAAAATTACTTTCCAAAAATAGAAAAATTAAATGGAATCTACACTGAATAGCTTATGACTACAGATGCCATATTCTCTGAAAGTGTCAGGGAGCTGGTATGTCAGTGTAGTAAAATTCTATACTTAACACATGAAGTCTGAAATATTACACTTCCTATTTTTATCGCTATGTAAAAATACTAGAATTAAAACGCCTGCTAAAGATGAAATTAAGTCAGAATTCCCTTTCCAAGAAGATAAACAGTACAAGTATTGCCACAACTTCTGTACAGCAAGCAAGAAACGTTTTTAAAAGCCCCCTCTAATTGTCATTGTGTTGACAAATTCAGTAGTATAGTTTAAAAAGTTACCTTTAAATTGCATTTCCCATTCTCTAACACTTTCCATTTGTACAGCATTTAAGTCTGATAGGTCGTCATATTCATCTCTGAGTGCATCTTTATCTAGACAAAAAGTTGCTAGTCCCCTTGAAGCATCTCTTCCAGCAAATATTCCATATGGGCCCTCTGAAAATAGAAAACAAAATTGATATTTTCAAAGTTTATAGTCATTGACCTCAACACTTAAGTAAGATTGGTGTGTGGCAGAAACAGCAGTGTTACAACGCTGAAAAGCATTTAGTGCTACTGCATCTCAATGGGCATTGTTATGAGTGACAAGGAGAGTGGACAAGAGAAGCAAAGGCAAGAAAAGTAAACATTTATCAGTTAACTGTCAAGACCAAACTATAAGTCAAGCTGGTGTCTTATGTGAGTCATTTCAAGTGCTTCTGCTTTCTGAGCTTGAAGGCACAAGAGAACAGAATGACAAAGAAAACATCTTTCTAGTAGGAAATAGTACATACATACAACGAACATTTAAGTTTGACCTTTCCTCAAGTCCTGGCAACCTCTCAAGGGTGGAAGAACAGCTATTTAACGTAAGACCAGGGTACTGGTCCACTCACTTCACCCAGTTTTTATGAACCATGACACTAAAGAGTTACTCTTATGAACTTAACACTATGAAATGGGAATTGAGGAAGCAGTTACACTGATTTGATTCAGTTATTTGATAATGAAGGTCTGTACTACTAGATATCTAACCAGCTTATTGCACAGTGGAGTCAAAGTTGCAGCATGTCAGTATTTAAGGAGGCATCCAACTATTTTAAACCAGCATTCTTAGCTATATTGAAGTTTAGTTTTCTAACCCAGTTTATTTTCATTGTGTTTTACAGCTGGCAAAAAGTAAAGTTGATGAAAGTCCAGGGTTCTCTATTCTGCCACATCTACATTTCAAACATTGCAGTAGTGTCCTAAATTATTCCCATTCCCAGGTATTTATTCCCAGTAATGGAAACAGATCTACTGACCTTATTTGTAAAAACAAATCTTAAATTTGGGAGTTTTTCAGCTACCAATTTAATCTTAGATGTTATAGAAGACTACAGCTGTGTAACCCTTTTGTTATTTGTGAGAACATTATCTGGGAAGTTACTCTATTTCTGAAGAGCATACCAACATTCATAAACATCTTGCCTCTACTTTTAATAGTTTATCCAACTAGACATCAAAGGGGAATTTTAGACAGGCAAACAATTACCCAATTTGGAGTTTGACCAGAACGAACATGGATATAACCTCCCCCCCCCCCCCAAAGCTAGTTGATTCACCTGCATTAATGCAGTTGAAACAGGCTCAAGGATAGTAGTGCCATGCAGGTGATTACTGCTTAGGTCAAGGGTGTCCAAACTTTTTTCAAAGAGGGCCAGATTTGATGAAGTGAACATGCGTGAGGGCCGACCATTTTGCCTGACATTCTTTGAACCATTAAAATTAAATGCAAATTAACTATTTTATGCAAAGTTTATTGCAAACGGCATACTTTTCATTTCGTCACATGGATGACAAATCTAAACAGGTGTTAAATCACTCTGCCTTTCATATCTGAAGGCCAGATGAAAAAAAAATCCAGGAAGCTGAAATATATGTCAGGAACATTGTAAAGTACATTACATATTATTGGTAATAAAGGTTGTCTGTCAACTTTTAAGTTCAAAAAATATGAACAGGAACATAACACCAAGTATACATGTTGTGTCCAAATATATTTATAACTGATTTAGACCAACTGACATTAACTGAGATTTTACAATGTATTCATCTCAATACATATGGATTTGTTGGGGGCCATAAAAGATAGATATTGCCAAATTACCTGTGGGGCCGTATTAAACCGGAACACGGGCCGCAATTGGCCCGCGGGCCGGACTTTGGACATGCCTGGCTTAGGGTATTTAGATGACCCCAGAAAACAATTCTGCTAATGAAACTTCAAGCAATCAAATAGAGTTACTATATAGAAAGCAAATAAGCCTCACTGATGGGCATAATTTCCTGTTGAGATTAGTAAAACTTTCCAGACTTTATTTTAAGTCATTAAGCTTTTAAAATTTGTCCTTATATCAATTAAATTGCCATAAAGTTTTTACATAGAAAAGTATCCCAAATGTTGCATGATTACAAATTAAAAGTCACAAAAGTTACCATCAACAAATAACTGCAATCAAAGTGTTTATAAAGTTAGGATTCCTCTTTAATGAGGGTGCAATAGGAAAGTAAAAGCTATAGTAGTCCATTGCAGTGTAAAACTAAAAATTTCCAAGTGTCCAAATTCCTCTACATCAACACCACAATATATAACTTTTGGAAACTGCTAGGTACAGAAACTAAAACTCAGTTGCATACTACAGTTTGAAGCACCAACACTCTAATGTGTAGCAAGTGAAAAAAAAATCTAAAAACCTAAATGTAAAGTTATCAAAATATATTTGTTATTGAAGCTAATGGTGACATTACTTGTGTAATATAGTTATGTGATAGAGATTTCAGCTAATAGTGCACTGTCAAATGTAAAATGCAAACATTTTTAAGACAAACAAGAATTGCCCGCTTCTGCCCTCTGCTGAGGTTCTTGTGTGGTACTAAGCTGGTTCTGAACCTCTAACATGCATCTATGATCCTGCTAATGTTAGCAGCACGTACAGTACAAATATATAACGTTACAGATGTGTACCCTCTCAGGCACCTTTTCTTGCACTCTGATGAGTCTATTCTACCTAATATCTGCCTACAGTCCCAAAAATTGTGGGACGTTTGTTAGCAGTGAAACAATATTCACATTTAAATCATTGGGGCAATTCACACCTCTCGGATCTCATTGTTCAAGATATAGCACAGTGATCTAAGTTCACGTGTACTGTTCTATTCACAAACAGAATCAAGTGAAAGCTTAGATTCTTCAAAAACTGATAATGTTGCCAGATAATGCTGTGAAAACATTTATGACAAACAGGCTCTACCACTCAGTTTTTTGTACAGCCTGCAGAGGCCCAGCCGCTCCCCTCCCCCCAGGCCCATTAGGGCCTGGGTGCAGGGGAAGCACACAGTTTCCTCCACCCTGCCAGAAGCATGTAGCACTTCCAAGTGCTGCATACTCCTGGTAAGGAGGGAGGAGACTTCATGTGCTTCCCTGCCCCCAAGCCTCGATTGGCCTGGGGATAGGTGGAGCATGCAAAGTTTCCTCCACCCTGCCAGAAGCATGTAGCACTTCCAAGTGCTGCATACTCCTGGTAAGGAGGGAGGAGACTTCATGTGCTTCCCTGCCCCCAAGCCTCGATTGGCCTGGGGATAGGTGGAGCATGCAAAGTTTCCTCCACCCTACCTTCACCCTGCAAGGAGCGCATAGCACTTCGAAGTGCCATGTGCTCCTTGCAGGGCAGGAGGAGCTTTACACCCTCCCCCGCACCCAGGCCAATCAGAGCTTGGGGGTCGGGGAGCTCAAGAAATTTTCTCCACCCTGCTAGAAGCACACAGCACTTTTCTAAGTGCTGTGCGCTCCTCACAGGGCAGGGATAGGGCAGAGGAAACTTTGTGCGTTTCGCTACCCCCAGGCCGTAATTGGGGTGAGGGAGCATGCAAAGCCTCTTCCCACCCTGCCAGGGCTAGGGGTGCTTAGTGGGAAGGGGAGGCAAAGGGGCTTCCCCCACCCTCGGACCAATCATTGTCTGTGAGTGGAGAAGCCCAGAAGCATCATGACCCCTCCCCTTCTACTTTGGGCCCTGCCCCTTCTGGGGCAGCCTGCAGCCACTTACAATTTTTTTAAAGTGTCCCCCAGCCAAAAATTTTTGTCCACCTCTGATCTTACAGCTAAAAAGACCAAGTCTTTTCAGATCAGGTATTTAGTACTCTTAACACTTTTTGTGAATGGATGGGATGGGGAGGGGGAAGAAGATGCCTGTAGCTGGGCTCTGGGAAAAAGGGGGGTTGGGGTACCCTCATGAACAGTATGCAGAGTGTGTGTGTGTATATATATAAATAAAATTAGAGTGTGTCTGTATGAGTCCATCTATGTGTCTGAGTCCATTTGGTCAAGAACTGCTCCTAAACGTTAAGAGCTTGGACCACCAAACTTGATTTACAGATTCCTCCTATCCTAACTTAAAGAGAGGTCAGAATTTGGTTGTGCCAAGAGAACGGGAAGTCTGTGGAATAGGACTGTTTTCCACAACAGGGAAAGGGAAAGGGATGGAGCAGAGATGCAATACCGACTGTGGCCACTAGGAGCAGCAAGCACAGGGGAGAACTATACTGCAGAGTGATCACTGGGGACAGCACACACCATCAAATGAATGACCAGCTGAGGCTCACCCTCTTGCCTGCCATCGGACACCAAACCCTCCCCTCCACCAGGCCTTTGACTGCAATGCCAGAGGGGATGAAGGAGAAAGCCGGGGGGGGGGGGGGGGGAGAAAGGAGGAAGGGGAAGAAAGAGAAAGCCCTAGTTCACTGGGGAGGAAGGGAGGGAAAAGAGAAGGCCCCTGCCAACTGGGCCTCCTCCGCCCTGAGCCCCTCCTCAACCCCCCACCCTGAAGGACCTGGGCAACACAAGGCAAGTCTTTAGTACTATATATGCTGGGCTCACCGAACTGCGGCAAGCCCCGCTCTCCAGGGATCTGTGCATGCACAGATTGCCCGAATCTGGCTCTTTCGGGTTGCAATCTACTTGCCATTTGTCAAGCCCTGTATATATGCACCAATTGGCTGAAATTTACGAATCTCAGCAGAGAGCGTACTCAACAAAAATACCCTCTAATCTGTTTTATGCCACCAAGGAAAATAATAGTTTTCAAATAAAGATTTCAGTGTGAATAAAACATTACTCCAAATTCATGCATTCTAGAAAATATTTTAATTTTTTAAATGTACCGGGGGGGCGGGGGACAACATGCACCGCCACCATTTTCAACAGTCAATTTAGACTTACTGTTGAAACAACAGGTACATCTACATTGCATGGCTATTTCAGGATACTGGAAGGTATCCTAAAATAGCTACCCCGCATCTGAACAAGTCACCGGTTATTTTGAAATAACGGGCGTGCTATTTTGACATCCCTGTAAACCTCGCTGCACCAAGGTTAAGTGATGGCTAGAAATAGCATGTTATTTTGAAATTTGACACTA